GTACCAACATGGATTGTTGCCCGCAAGTTTTGATAGTTTTTTATACTGAATAGTGAAGTACATAGCTATCTGACTAGAATTGCAAAATCTTTCCACATTCCTTTTGTGTCGGACAAATATTTGTCAGTATTCAATACGATGTCGAGCTCCGATGTTCTTTAACTCACTTGGGGATGAAATGGTTAGTTCTGTTTCTTTTGAAACTTTTACTTTTAAACTTAAAAGTTAATATATTTGAATTGCAACCATCAATATTATCCATTCAATATTAATCATTCATCGAATACGTTGAACTACCGCATTACATTTAATGTTTGGTGTTGCCTTTTTGCATTTGCCTATTTATATAATTTTCTGTAATTTATTTCTTGGTGAAAATCCATGATTTCATAAGGCTTTAGCTCTCTTTCTTGGATTTCCTCGCCATATGTAATTCTATTTTTCATTTATTTGTGTGTATTTGTTTGTAAACGTTATATTGGAAAATTATTAAAATTCAAACGTCGGGCTCAGAAATTTTCTGAGTATCGGCTTGATACGCATCCACACCAAATATATATATATATATATATATATATATATATATATATATATATATATATATATATATATATATATATATATATATATATATATATATATTTACGAAATACAAACAGTGCTCAATACCACGCAGAAGGTTACGTACGTGGCTCAATCCCCGTTATAGGGTTCAGAAATTTTCTGAGTATAGGCTTGATACACATCCACACCAAATCACATCGACGCTCTACCAACTGAGCTACACGGTCAGACGGATTTAAGACTGGAAATTATGAAATATATACTGAATGTCATAAACATACTCGTTTATATTGTTGTTTACAATTAGACAACTCAAAAATATATATAAATATATATATATATATATATATATATATATATATATATATATATATATATATATATATATATATATATATAGCTTAAGATTTTGGTTTACGAAACACAAACAGTGCTCAATACCATATAGATAGAGCGTAATATAGTTTTCGTTTTACCTCAAAAAACCACAACAGTCTGTTTCATCCGTATAGGAATCATCAGGTGGTGAATAATTTCGAAATTGTAGGTTGCTTTTATGCTATCGAAAGAATGTGTGGAATGCGTGTAGGCGAAACAATGCTTAGGTAAAACAATGCATGCTTGGGTCATTAGGTTTTGTTAACGACCTTGTTTACTCGAAACCGGGTTTTGTGACGACATTTGCCGAAAATTTTGCTTCTTTTATTGAGTAAATTGTCTTTGTTTATGTCTTTCAAAATGCAAAATTTTTCTTCCAAACATAAATTGCAGCGTTTTGATCCCCCTGTGTACGAAATAGCTTGTTTTAAAATTGACCATTTGATGGTATAATCCTGATTGTTTTCTTTTAATTTCCAAATATGTTTCGAAAGTTCCGTTTTGTTTGAGTCTTTTTTATGACGAAAAGATGAAGTGTGGTTAGCGTAACGTTCCTTAAATGTAGTCGCTGTCATACCAATGTAGTGTTTAGTATCGTTCGTGTTGTTCGTTGTGACTGTTGCTTTGTAAATAATGTTGTTGGTCATGCATTGTTTCGGTAGTGGGCAAGTGTTTTTGTTGTCGCAGTTACAGTTGTCAGTTTCCGTATTCTGTGATTGACTGTTCCTAATTATATGTGCGTTGTGTTTGGTGATTATAGACTTTGTTCATGCAACTGTAGCTTACTTTTAAAGTGTTTCTGTTGAAAATCTTGTGTAGTTTGTGTTGTAGTGGGAAGTGTTTGTCAATTAAACTTAAGAATTCCCGTCCTATGTTCGTGTTAACACTCTTACTAAATGGTGGGTTGAACCAAATTATGTTGCGTTGCCTATTCCTACGTGTCCGTTGCGGTGCATTCTATATATATATATATATATATATATATATATATATATATATATATATATATATATATATATATATATATATATATATATATATTCATATATAAATGTTTGTTCGTCCAATTAGAGATGTGCAATGCGTTTGTTGATAGCAG